TCATGAGTGACTCTACTTCAATAATGGAGTATTTTAAATCTCTAAATTGTTTTTGAGTAGATACCTATTAATATATTTGTTAAAGCTATTTTGATTGATAAAAGCTACATTTTAAAAATAATATATACAATAGCCACAGATGCAAACTTCTTAGATTTAGATGCAGACTTCTTAGATTTAGATGCAAACCTCTTAGATTACAGTTTATCGTTGACTTATACAGGGTGAATCCTGAGTTGATATTTTTTAACTGTGTATAGAAGTCAACTTTTTCAAAAAACTTAAAAAAACTCAAAAATAAGAAACATGTATTAAAATGTATCCAATACGGTCCTGTTTTTACTATTAACTGAAGTGATGCATACCTAAATAAGCAACATATTATTCTCAAGTTCACTGTTGTCATATAAATACTCTAATGAACACTCGAGTAAATTACAAATAATCGGTAAAGCGTATGATTCATGATAAAAACCAAAAAAAGGAAGTGAAAAAAGATAAAAAAGGAAAAAAGACTTCTTATTTAGCTTCATTTTTGTACACAGGCCCGGATTTAGGTTTTTAATTTGATCTTTCTAAGTTTTGAGTTTTTTTAAAAAAAGATATTTTAATAGTTAAAAACGTATTCACCCTGTATGTAAGTTACACTACAAAAAGTAACAATTTGAATTAACCATATGCAATGGGCGCTTTATCTGTGGTCCCGCAAGGCTTAATATTGGGTCTATTGCTATTTGGTATCTTTATGAATGATATCTTGACTTCTAACTACTTTATTAAGATGTTGAGCAATAAAATAATTAATGTATTTATATAAACAAAACTAATTGAAAACTAAACTATTTTTTTTTCTTAGTGTTATGGCTTTGGTACCAATTAGTCAGTCTTGTTTTGATTTTTTTTTTACTAATGCAGGTAATGTTACTGTTTCCCAGCGCCATCTCATGATCATCACTGATAATTAGAACCCAAAATGATCAAATGGGTAATCCTATCCAATTAATTTAAACAAATCCCGGCCCTAGTGGAATTCTAGATTCTAACAATTGATTCGCCCACCCCTTTCAACTGACTAACGAATGTAATGGTTTTTAAATACACCTATGTACAGCAAATAACATCAACATCATAATTGCGTTATTTTAAACCTGGACACATCTACTAAAAAATACACATACTGTTTTATAAAAATCTCTAGGTAATCATTATTTAGCAATGATTATGCACCTTCCTAAATTTAATCTGTAAACATTAATAGTATCTATGACTGTGAAAGCCAAGGAAGGAGGAAGTGATTGCTAAGAACAAAGCTGAGTTGCCAGATCGTTGTAGATCATCCGACCAATTAGACACTACGAATTTTGACAGTAAATGATACTACTGACAGTGATATTTGATATTAGTCGCTTTCTGTTTACCACTAATCTAAGGTAACTTGTATCGACTAAGCTCAGTTGTACGTTCTTTTTATGATTGTAAGTCAGAATCTTTCTTCCCCCCTTTACTAGGTAAGGTACACGGATCTTAACATCAATCATAAACCATAACAGAAACTGAGTGTTCTGTGCACCATACGAATAAACATATCCTTATGAATTCATTATTTTTAGAGATATTAAAAGACTAGATAACAGGGGGCAAGAACGTAGTGTTGAATGTTGAAGAAATTATAACATTGATGAAAATGTGGATTGTTGTCAAACAGATGGCATGGACACGTCGCTTGTCAACTAAAATTCGCGTTCTTTTTATAACTTAGCTTAGATTAGAATCTAATTTTTAGCTAGTCAACCATACCTGTAAACAGAAAACGGCTATTCATACCAATTAGACATTCTAACCAAAATGGTTGCCTGTGGACATTGATATGGTAGCCCCATGGATGCATAATAACCTCAATATGCAACCCTGTTAGCCTTGTGGATTTGACAGGGTCAATGATATAAATATACATTAGATTGTACATTCGTTTTTTTTAAATAAACATAAGCTTTATACTTTCCTATATTCAAAGGTTTTAAAATATATTTTTACTAAACCGATTCTGATTAATGAGCACTTGCGAGGCAATATGGCCGCTCGCAATACAACTCGCTTTGAGCAATCTATATAACTATTATATCATTGACCGTATCAAAGCCCACAGGTAGCAATTTTGACATGTCGTTGAAAATGTTAATTAGGCATTCCAAACAAAAGATTTGTTGGTGGGAAGGCTTGATATGTCTAAGGGGTTGCCACATACGATGTATTCTAACAACAATATGTACAATCATTGGCCTGTTCCAACAAGAGATAACAGAGATATAACCATTCATTGCTAAAATATAATATTCACGATACCAAGATTATTTCGACAATCAATACGCTCTATTTGTAGGTCCGTGGCGAGGAGACGAAAGGTGAGAAGTAAGAGAGGTGATAAAGAGAAGGAGTTTACGCAGATTTAACTTTATTTTATCAATGAATAAATGTGTAAGCCAGGGTCCTGTTGCCAGTTCCAACTTAACATTGCTAGGTTTTGGAATTTTTGAACATTATTACATCTAATTTAGTGAAATTATATCTAATTTAGTTAAATTTGATATAACTAATGATTCAAATTTTTTTAGGTTCTGTTGCAATAAAATAGGTTGAATTATTTTAGCTTCTTTAATATATGTAAATAATTTTGTCAACAAAAGGAGAATAATAAAATAAGCATATGACAATAGTGTCCCTTAGAATATATCTTATTCAGGACCGCACGATATTTGTTCTCTGGTTCCAACACACGCATATTATCCTCTACGATTGCCCGACATTGCTCGACGCTTTTATTTATTAGATTTGTGTTCGGCGAGTATTGGCTAATACCGATATAAGAGAAGAATCTCTTGGCAACGTTATCAACTACATTAAATCTGTAGTCTGGCTCGCGAGCTAGGAGGTGACTATTATCTTGGAAGAATTCACAATGGACCTAGTGAGGCCTAAGTGCCGTGGAGATAACCCACCCTCCACACGTTACAGATACAGATAGAGCAACAATAACTCTCACCAGAACCACTTCTTTTCAGCTATTCGTCATATCGCCATATTTAATTTTGTAAAACTAAGTAGTGAAAATAGAAGTGCAGGCCAGAGTGTGATCAATTTGCATAGTTAGTGTTTTTATTATAATTACTAAATGTAATCCAGTGTTATACATACAGTTGACAATACATACAAAAATGAAGAGTTTGATTATTTTCTCATGGATGCCATTATTAGATCTTGACCAAATTTATATGGGACCACCCCTGAAGTAACCCTTTACTAACAAAAAAGAATCATAGAAATCCCACAACGTAGTAAAAAGTTATAGCTGAGAACATACATAAAAAAAATATTCCGACGAATTGAGAATCTCCTACTTTTTTTTTTTAAATTGGTTAAGGAGGTCCTTTCGCCACACCTCTCGCCTCAAAGGTATTAGATTATGACTAAAATTAATTTTTTTCTAATAGTTGAAGTCCTTATTTATCTAATACTGAACTTTTAACTATACCTTACCTTGCAAATTTTTGAGAATTTTTTTTTTAAAAATGTGAGTATTTGTACAGTGCCTCACGAGAAAGTAAGTCCTCAACAACAATTCTCGAATTATACTATTATTTATTGATTAGATGGAGTAGAAAAAAACTAAAAATAAGGTTTTTGAAATATTTAGATTTTGTTTTATACAATAAAATATATATAGTAAACCGTGGAACTTATTGAGAAATTAATATTAAAAAATAACAAAAAATTTTCAAGTAACCTAGTTGAAAATTTTTTGTGATTTTTTAATAATAATTTCTCAATAAATTCCACGGTAACCTATATATTTTATTGTAAAAAACAAAATCTAAATATATCAAAAACCTTATTTTTAGTTTTTTTCTACTCCATCTAATCAATAAATAATAGTAAAATTAATTATAATTCGAAAATTGTTGTTGAAGTCTTACTTTCTCATAAGACACTGTACAAACACACACATTTTAAAAAAAAATTCTCAAAAATTTGCACGGTAAGGTATAGTTAAAAGTTCACTATTAGATAAATAAGGACATCTACTATTAGAAAAAAATTAATTTTAGTCATAATCTAATATATTTTATTTAACATTGGTGGCGAAAGGACCTCCTTAAAAATTACCGTTTTCTGTATTATATTTTTGAGGAACACCTTTAATTTATTGTTAACGTCAAAAATAAAATGAAATATTTTGAATCATTAAAAAAAACATATTAAAGGTACCATTTGGGAAGGCCAGACCGAGTATAGCGACGTCTAAACAGATGTAACTATATGAAACACATTTGGAAAGGCGCGACCGACGACAGTAGTTTTAGCACGGCAGGATATGCTGCTTGCTGCCTGTCACTTGAAGTCGGTCTCGGTCTCGCCTTCCCAAATGTTATCATTAAAAAGCTCAAAATCTCGTTTCTATTATAGGTTTCGGCATATCATGTTCAAATTTAATCTCATTGTTGGCAACGCATATTCACTATATTGGCACTAATGACATATATACAGAACCATCTAGATCTTCATGCAAACGATATAAAAAGCTAAACTATCTCGAGTATTGTACGAAAAGCGACTCTCTGTGACTAACATAGAACACACATTCGTGATCTAAATTAGAGGAGAAGAGTTTTGTATCGTCAGATGTAAAAAAGCTATTAATTAGTTTTAATACTATATTTTAAAAATAATCCACTTTCTGCTTGTGATTCACAAATATTTAACTACTTTTAAATATATAATTTAATTTGGCATTTTGTTTTCCAGTTGGTACCCATCCTTATGATATCATTTTTATTAATTAGCAACCCATTGTCATGTATACAAAGGTTCCCAAGTTTGTATTGATTCATTTAGGTACGCCTGAATATATTTTGATTTGTATTGGCATGATTACCTAGAGTTTTCTCACATAGATATTCTTGAAATTACAACAGCGTATTTTCTACAACTACATTGTTATCATGTCAAATAACTTGAGTTTCCGTTGATGTCCGAAATGAGTTCATACGAATTTGGGATGTGATGACGCTGTTTTGTTTCCTCGACGGCTGATAGTTCAAACCGTAAGCATTGTTGTTTCTCCTGCTTGGACAGAAAAGTCCAGCGATCGCGAGATACATCCGATTGGTACTGTCCTGAAAAATAAAAAAAAAAGAATTACATTATTAGCCATCAGCTTTTCAAAATTTAAAAACATTTTCATTAGCTCAAGATATCAATAATAATAATATTTGATCTCAATATGGAACCTTAACAAATCTATATTTTTTTTCTTCTGAATTATTAGAATAAACATTTTTTTAATCAAACGTTACTTAGACATATTTTGTTTAGGCAAGTTCGAGATAACGCCCTATGGAGTGAGCAGGATATGAGTCCCGTCAAGTCGGAGAGCGAATGTAGTAACATCTCGAACGCGCTCTGTCCACATACTTTGATTTTCTTTTACTATACGGAGAATGGTCGCACTACGCAGCTTTCTGAGTGCCTTTTAAAAGGAGATAGAAAACTCCGCCATTTTGATCCCTTATTACGTGTTGCCTACATCTTGGCGCAATATTTTTAATAGGTGCGTTTTAATCATTCGCTTCTGCTTCGGAATTGTCGGTTTTCTTGTTTTAATCTGACAGGTTAAAACGACTATGCATTTAAATACACGTGATCAATTTGACCCCACTGTAGGTATAAAATTGATCAGTTGATATTTTCATTATAAAATATTATTATACAGATCCATCCACGATACTACGAACACGGTCAAACTGGTGACCAATTTACCCTTGTCCGCTATTGTCATTCCAAAGCTTTCGCATGTGACATATTTGGAATAACTTTATACATTTCACGACAGAGTTGAGTATTAATGAATATTTTATAAATAAATGAAGATAAAGAACAAACATAACATATTCAGACATGAAAATAGCGAAATTTAATAATGCAACCATCAACCAGAATTTGTAATAACAGACAAAATTTTGAACAACTTTAATAGTTGTTGACGTAGCGCAGTAGGTAAGGTGTTGTACTTACAGTCTACCTACGCGGATAGAGGTAGGATCGAATCTAGGCGCCGACGTTTTTTTATTTTTTTTTTTATTTTATTAATTTTCATTTTCTTTTTCATTTCTTTTTTTTTTCTCTTTTTTTGAAACCCTCCACAATAGTAAGAACAGCAACAGTTTAAAATTTATAAAAAACAACTTTGATTTTGTTTTCAAATGGAAAAAAATTCAATACAAACATTAAAAAATAGAGAACAAACATTGAACATTAAAACAAAAACAAAACGAACTTTAAAATTACATAACTAAGATTAAAAAAAATACTTAACTAAGATTAAAAAATCACAAAAAATAAAAATTATAAAATGGAATCCAATAGACAATAATAAATTACAATCAATAATAAAAGAACACGAATTTATTTTTAATGTAATAGGTGCTCAAATAGACCTCCTTCTTGGGCAAGACAGTACCCCAAGCGATCGTAAAATGATCGCCTTACTTCAGCCAACATATTGGGACTAATAAGTTGAACGGCTTCTGAAATTTTCACTTTCAGCTCATCTAAGTCGTTAGCTCTTTCTTCCCTGAATTTGTATATCTGAGACTTTAAATACCCCACAAAAAAAAATCACAAGGTTCGAGATCTCTAGCTGGCCACAGAATTGTACCTTTCCCTGATAATAATCTGTTGGGAAATGTTTCATTTAAAAAGTGCTGCACCGTCACACGATTATGCACAGAACATCCGTCTTGTTGAAATCAAATATTGTTAAATCGAGCTCCTGCCAATCGCCGTATCTCAGGGACAATATGGTGTCTGAGTAAATCCAAATATTTAACACTATTTAAATTACCCTCAATATAAAAAGGACCGATTACATTTTCACCTAGTATTCCCATCCAAACATTCAACTTTTGCGGGAACTGCGTGCGAACTGTTACAAATTTATGTAAATTTTCTCGAGACCAATATCGGACTTGCGATGGATTATGCCTGGCAAGTAATGGAAAAGTCGACTTATCGGTGAACACAACATTGTAAAGAACATTGTTGTCATTGTTAACTTTATCCATTACTGCCTCGCTAAATTCCATTCGTCTGATATTGTCAGTTTCATAAATTTCTTGGCATTTTCTTACTTTATAAGATCGATATCCATGTTTTTTTAAAATTCTATTTACTGTGGTTTCACTGGAACCTACAACTTCCGCAACCTCTCTCTGAGATATCATCGGATTTTCTTCCACAGTTGCACAAATCATAATATCCCTATCTTCTTGTTCATTCTGATTATTATTAACTCGAGCCTTTTTATGTTCATTGGGAGAAACGCAGCCATGAATTTCAAAATTTTGAACAATACGATGTACTGTTGAGAGTGATGGTATGGGCCTATTTTGAAATGTCGCCTCAAACAAACCGTTTATTTGTCGAATTGTGTTGCCTTGAAAATGCCATTTCACAATTTGTACTTTCTCAGCAATTTCGTAAACATTCATTTTAAATCTAAAGAAATACTTTTCGCCCGCGATAAAAGCACAAAATTTGAATGTGACAGTTGCGGACAAGCGTCATTTGGTCATCATGTTTACCATGTTCCTAGTACGATGGATGAATCGGTATGTAAATGTTTTATTTATTGTAACTACACTTTCTTATGTAAAATTCGTTGCGATTATTTGAGTTTAGAATGAAAATACACTTTAAAACAAAAACAATTGATTTACGGTAGTTTTATTTAAAATAAAAAATGAACACCTGCATCCCAAGAAGTTCAAAAGAAAATTTAAAAAATAAGGAAAATCAAAATAATTACTCACTTTAATCTCCTTGATTCTTATGGTATAAATGATAGGATTCGCCAACATCTTCATGATAACAAGTGTATTCTCTATTAAGCGAAGTGACAAAACTTCATATTTATAATCTCTATTAAGCGTATTGAGTGTTTCCCCACTAATTGGACAATCATTACAAGAAAGTATGAAGAAAAGCAGAGCCGGCATCCATCCAATAAAGCACGATCCCAAAATAAAGAGCGTGGTGTAAACAGCCTTGATGTTCCCTTGAAGTCTGGCTTGTTCTCTTATGGCTTTCTGGCTGCAGCTGTTAGTTTTCATGCTGCGTCCTTTGTATTTTGAGCTGCCGGTTCTTGATACGTTCTTCCACTTATTCTGTTGTCGCTTTACAGTTATTAATATATGCGTGTAGCAAATAACCATTAAAACTATGGGAAAGAAAAAGAGAAAGCTGTAGCTCAATCTAGAAGCGAAAGTGGAGAATATTTGAAAAGCGCTTGTATTTCCTAAAAATTTGCCACTATTTTCTACGGTGGACAGTACTAGTAGTAGTATAATAGGACATACCCATAAGAAAGCGATTACAATAGACACTTTTCTTTTGGTTACTATAACATTGTAGTGCAGAGGTTTCATTATGCCGATATAGTGATTGAAACTTAATGCTAGTAAGTGTAAAACAGTAATAACGATTCCGCTTAGCCGAATCAATTCTGCGATACAAAAAAATATTCCCAAATTTTCGATCTGGAGCCGCTCCATCAACAACAAGAATCCAGTCATACTGGAGCTGAGGGCGTCAGCTACGGCTAAGCTCAAACTTATTTTTAGATTCGGCGTCATCGGATTTCTTATCCAGTAGATGCTTATGATGACTAGAGAGTTGACGCACATGGCCAGAAGACAGCATACTAGGAGGAAGGTTATGCATATCAGTACTACGTTATAGTACACCTCGTCAATGCAGCATTCGTCTTCGAAGTAAGTCGAGTTGAAGAGGGAATTGTTGGTGATGTTTGATGAAATAGTAGTACTTAAATTGGTCTCCATGGTGCCACCTGTAAACAAAAAAATGTATTTAAGTTGAATGTCAATGACAAAGGAAATACAGTTCTGAATGATAATTTTTTCCAGAAAATGTTTTTAAAATTAGGTTCAGAGTAAGATAAAGAATATTGGAAAGTCTATAATTTGTTTTACTTTTAGTCCATAATATTTAAATAAGTAATATTTAACAATTATTTAAAAGTTATGGACATTCCAATATTTTATTATATTAAAATCTAAAACGAAAAATACAATCTTTTGTTTTTGCCTGATCAGGAAATACAGGATGATTATAATATAATATAATAATGATGTTTATTCACATAAAATAAATACAATGTATAAAAATGTCATTTAAAGATAAGCAAATAAACATGAACTACACAGAAGCTGTTGTAGACAGCTTGTACCTGGTAGATATTCTAACGATAGTTTAATTTATTTGGATTTTATTTATTTAAAACACACTATTTACAATTTATTTATGACGTACTAATTAATTTATATAATACTTAGGCACTAACTCACAATGCTAAATTATTAATTACAATTTAACTTTTCAGTCCAATACTTTTTACTAAACTAAACTGTCCGTCCATAACTATATTTATACCAAGTCCAACTCTGCTACGAGAAGTCTTTAGATGCTCCAGAAAATTACATTTCTGACTCAACGGTGCGCTCCGCCCGTTCTAGCCGTTTCTCGAGCGTCATCGACATTCCTAGAAGTTTCCATCGTTTCGAGTCGAGTGCCACAGACGTGAAGGTCGATGCTTTAGACAGGGTCGGCTTAGGAATTAAAACTAAATGGTTGTATTTGCAATTTCCAGTTGCATGGAAGTAAAAGAGGATCCAGTTGCGTTATAACCTGAAAGCTGGGAGAATGGCTGCAGACCAGTATTTCAACCTGGGTATCTTGAAAGATTACTTCCACCATGTTTCTAATGATCCTCCAATTCAGCTGGTTGCTATCTATCTTTGACATAGCTAGTTTCTGTACATTGGACTCAAGTACATGCTCCCTCAGACTGAGTAATGCTTCCCATACATCATGATAGGTGGATCGATCTCGGAAGGTGTTCTTTGTTACCAAATAGAAAAGATAACGCGATCCATCTTGAAGTTTTAATGCTTTTCCAGGGGCCGGTAACTGATCTTGAAGTTTTGGCAATCGACCAAACTTCTTCCGGAATACAGATGCCAGACCTCGAGCGTCGTAGATATTGGCGGAAGTGCTATGGACCAGCGATTAATCTTTAGGAACCGTGAGCAGGTCTTGTTGTTGCTCGGTTGTAACACCATATCTTGCTTTTCCGGTACCTCCATATGCCTCTTCATGGTTACCCTCAAATGGCGCCAGCCGATTTTGGTGCACTACCTTCGGTTTACAGTTCGGGATCTTACTTATACGGTAAATGACATCATTGATTTTTTTCTTGATGAGGTACGAGCCTTCCCAAGACCTTTGAAGCTTTGGAGAATAACCCTTTTGTCTTTTTGGGTTATGGAGCCAGACTTAGTCACCTTCCTTGAAACATCCTTTTGTGGCTTGGGTATCGTATCGCTTCTTCATTCTGTCACTAGCGATTTGAAGATGCGAGCGGACCAATTCATGCATATCGTCTATTCTTCTTCGTAACTGGAGCACATAATCTTCACCAGCTACATCTTCTCCAGGTCGGCATCCAAACTCGAGGTCGCACGGTAGTCTCAAATCACGCCCAAACAGTACCTTTGCTGGTGTTTGGCCTGTTGATTCATTGACAGCGGATCTATAAGCCATTGCAAAGAGCGAAAGATACTGATCCCAATCTCGCTGATGGTTTGATTTGACAGATATTTATCTCGCTGATGGTTTGATTTGACAGATATTTTCCAATGATCTTATTCATTCTTCTACCATTCCATCGAATTGTGGGTGCAATGCTGTGGTTCTGGTTTTCTTCATGCCTAGTCTGTCACAGATTCCACCACGGAAGAGTGGGTTTTCAAAATTTCTGCCTTGGTCACTGTGGATCTCCAAGGGCACTCCAAATCGACAGACAAACTCTTTTATCAATACGTTGCAGCCTCTTGATTTTGAATGGCGTAGACTTCCACCCACTTCGTGAAATAATCCATAACCGCCATCAGGTATTTATTACCATTTTCGGTTTTGGGGAATGGTCCAGCACTATCTAAAGCGACATTAAACCACTGATGGATAGGCGTAACCACGCACCAATCTCCTTTTTACACAAACTTTTAAATAATCAAACTCTCCATATATATTGAGTAAAATTAACTTTTTGTTACCCAGAATTGAGTCACGCAATGAATCTTTTTTTTATAATCCATCTTGCCGAACCAATACATATATTAGTTAAATCTCCAGTAGTTCATATGTGCACAATGTATAACAAAATATGTAATCATTGTGATATTAATAATGATAACATACACAAAATCCTGGACATTTATCAAAAAAACAGAGCTAATTAATTAATTAATAAATTATTTTTTTTGTTTCATTTATTCTTTTCTTCTTATATTTTACTATTTATAAGCTCATACTATTAAGTTCAATTCTTATAGCATTGTCTTATTTATAAGTTCTTATTAATAAGTTTTTGTTCATACATACTAAGTACTGTTCATGTTTATTGTATTATGTATTATTTTTTGTTATTGGGTGTTGAAAATAAATATATTATTATTATATTATTAAACTTCTTAGGTCCTCAAGTCGTTAATTACTATCTAAATCTACAAATCATTCTTCATATCTCCAAGTATAAAAGCTTCTAAATCATTCTTCATATGATAAAAAATCTTCCAAATCGTTTTTCATGTGATCTTTAAAAATGAAAAAGAACCTCTTTATCAGATGATCTTCTCGATAAATCAAAATTAGTCTTCTCGGTACCACATTTAGGAAATCAATCCAAAAATGAACTGTCATCGCAAGGAAAATGATGGGACAATAGAGGTGTTTGAAAAACATTGCGTTACAATTTATGGGATACATTAGTAGTTATTTTTGAAACATAGCTTTCAATGCACTCTACAACTTTCATTTGACACATTTTTTCCTATCTCAAATAGGGAAGCAGTTATCGTTCTGTTTTCCGACAACAGTTAACGTATGCACTTTCAGAATGTAACACTCTGTATAACTATGTGAAAACGTTTATTGGAATAGTCATGAAATATCGTCAATTCCGAAAGAGATGTTAATAATACGATAATAAATGTCACTCAGCCATAATCCAATAAATTTTCAAGATAATAGAAAATTGTCGATTGTCATTACTCTATATGGACATGATATATGATTATTTCCAATTATTATCATAATCACAAATTTCTCCGACAGACTGTGCAACAGGGAGGCGGCGAATTTAAATTAAAAACTAATTTTCGGTAGTATGTACATTTCAATAAATCAGTGTCAAAGCCATTCTCCATTACTCGCATCTGAAAGGATAATTATTAATGTTTGTTCATTAAAAAACCGCCCTTGACAAGTCATAAATTCATCGTTGAGAAAATATGGTTTCAGTTCACGTCGAGGCACCTGTGGAATTTATATTCAGACTTATGATACTGTAAGTGAAAATGCGAATAAGGGTGAGTGAGGATTTTTTAAAGCCATTCATTAGATAGAGCTCTGTCAACCACGTGATACGCAACTAGCAACTGATTGTGATGACTCTCAGTGGGTCTCTACTCCAATAAAATACCGATTGATCTTGAAATAATTGGGTACAAGCTAATATCGGCAGATTTATTGGAAAGAAACTACGTCTTATCAGGAGAGTAATAAATTTTATGGTATAAATATTTGACTGGTATCCTAAATGGAAAAAAAGAAACGGAAATCTCGCATTTATTTTACATTCCTGATTAGATTAGGTTAGGTAAACGAGTTAAAAGATTAAATACCTACGAAGGCGAGAAATAATTTATTAGGGAAAGGATGAACAAAATGACAGCGGGTCTTTAAATAAAAAAGAAAATACATTTTTGAACACCTGACTAAATAATATGATATAATAATGTAATGTAATAATTATTACGAAGTTTTCTACCAAAGAAAATCAAAGGGAAATTTATTATAAAATAATAAATACAGAACTGCAAAAATTCACCTTTTTTTTAAATCAAGGGTCAATACAAATTTCGCAAATGAATATTTTTGATTTTAATCCACTCCAGCACAATCATCATAAGCACACATCGAATCCCGATTTCACCAGGTTTGGTCTTTTATTTTGATTCATCTAAATTGGGATTACTATTCAAAATAGTCGTTCCCTGACGTTTTCTTGCTTTCCTTTTCTTGGAATGTTCCAGACTCAGGAAATCTCTACAGAGAGATAAGCAAGGATTCGGGGATATGAGTACGAAGGTTGTAAAGAAAAGTCCTTTGTATTTAATCCCAACCATTACATATGGCTATTCTCACTCCTAATGATTCAATAACATATAGGATCTCTGAAAAATCAACAACGAGAAATCACAAACACAGAGGAGGAGACTTTAGAGTTATTACTAAAGTCACACTTCTCTGGATGTGAGATTATCCTTGACCAAAAGAACAGAAGTACCGAAGCATTAGTTCCTAGAGCTTCAGAAACAAACTGGTCTCTTGCAAATACAATAATAAACAGAACAAAACTTGTACGGGCGATTCAATCCGTTTAACAATACAAGATAGCTGGACCTGCTAGTACAATCCTAGCACTTCTACAAAAGAGCCAGGAAATACTGGAAACACCACTGTGTAAACTATTGCAAGCTAGCGTAACCCTCGGATATGTTCCACAAAGTTGGATGTCTACAAGAGTTGTCTTCATTGGTCGATAGCTATGGTGATGCAGCTATACATAGGCTAGCTCAGAAGGCCGGACAAGCAAAGAAATAACACTAGGAGTTTTTCAAGATCTAGAAGGAGCCTCATTACTTAACGGAATAATTTGTTGGCTATCGCCGCCTACTGGTGGTTTAGAGACGTGTTAATG